TGTTCTAACTTTTATGGATGAATTTCTCACCAGCGATGCGTTTTCGACCCGCTGTGTGTACACTTGTGTATCTGTGTGACCGTTTGAGATATCAACAAACTACAAACTCCACCTTAAACTAGAGAGGCGGAGCTTTCTGACAGTATGCTGTACATGTTTTCTATGTGTTGTATTTTCTGTGAAACCCCTGCAAACCTCTACACTGCGTCCCAGCTGTGCTGCCTGTGCATGGTGCGACCTGCATACCTAGCAAATCTTATTAGCAAAGTTAGCTTTTATTGGAATTTTCCGTTCCACCTTAAATGGTGCAGCAGTTACGTTCCAGTGCTTGACTTACCAGAATGTATCTGCCGCACCATTTAAAGTGGAACAGAAAATTCAAATAAGAATCAGGAAACGAACCTCTCACCTAAAACCATGTGGAGTTGTTATTAGTCACTGTTAGATTATTGATTATGGTGATTAAAGTACAGAATTCAGCTGAAAGATAGTCGGTCCGTTTTTCCAGAGTTGGAGAAGCCGGCGAGTGAGTCTGTGTGTAAGTGTGTTTTGGCAGAAGTCTGGGTTTAAATATGAGGCTGAAAGTGAACAGGTTCCTCTTAAGCTGCAGCTGGTGCTGCCTGGATTGATCGCGTTCCAGGGAAACATCAAGGCTGAATCGGATCTTCGGACCGTGGCTGTTTATCTGTCTGATACACTCCGGCTCTTCCAAGGTCGTCTCCGGCGGCATTAATCTGGGGTCCATCGATCTGTCCTGCTCCGGCTAACAATTTACTGCTGCGGTGATGTCACTCTCTAACATGTTGCCTCATGTTTCACCAAACTTTCGGATGTGTTCTCCGATCCATCAGGGGTTTTAGAGCCGCCCGGCTGAGCCCACAGTCGCTTCTCTTCTGTCCTGAGGCTGAATTACCATAAAAGAAAAAGGTTCTCTACTGCTTTGGTTCCCTGAAGAACCTTTCCGTGTTTGTGTGCAAGTGTGAAGAACCTTAATTTAATGTGACGGCTCTATAACAATTAAAAATAAAGATACCAAAAGGAGTTCTTTCGACTGATGCCATAGGAGAACCACTTTGGATGCCTGAAGAACCTTTTATGTGGTCATTTGTTTAAAGAACGATTTTGCGTAAATGAGATGAAGAACCTCATATAATGTGAAAGTCCCAAACCGATCAACCGAACCTTTTACTGGGTAATTCATTAAAGAATTAAGGTGTGCTAGTGTGACGAACTTCAATACAATGTGAAGGTTCTACGCCAATTAAAAATCAAAAAGTACCAAAGCAGTTCTTTTAAAGAGATGCCATAGAAGAACCACTTTGCTTCCCTAAGGAACCTTTCCATGGACATTTCTTTAAAGAACAGTTTTCCTTCATGAAATGTGCGAGTGTGAAGAACCTCCATATAATGTGAAGGTTCTATACCAGTTAAAAATAAAGGTACTAAAAGTTGTTCTTGGATATTAAAAAGCAGTTTGTAAAGCAGGTGAATGAGTGAAGAACCCTTTTTAAGGGTTAAAGAACTCCTACATATTGTAAATGTCCCACATTAAGTAAAAAGCTTTTGTTTTTCCTCTAATCATACATTGAAATCGAGAACCCTTCAGTTTTTAAGGGTCTATTAATGTAATAGTGGCTGATAATAGTGACAGACAGGCTCTTTCTGGCTGAGGAGTCTCAGTGTTTGTGGTTCCTCTGCAGGCAGGAGATCCTGCTGAGCTCCAGCTTCTGTAAGACCTTTAGATTCAGAGTGAAGCTTTGAAAGTGTCCTCTAATTGGACCCCTCGCAGAGATGGGGTCACGTCTTTCAATGGAAGCTTTGATAGGCCCTACTTTACGAGGCGCTTGACTGATGCTTAGAGGGGAGTTTATTATGGCCAGCAGAGGTCAGATTAGCCCTGATAGTGTTTCATTGAGTAAATTTGTAGGTATTGGATGAAGCAGATGAGTTGATAAAGGAAATTAAATCAGTCTGCTGAGTCGGGATAAAGAGATCCAGCCGCTCCGCTGATCCGATTGTGTTGCTCTCTGCGCTCACTGTGGCCGCGTTTGGAGCTGAAGGGCTGAGTTTTCTGTCCGATGTTTTTCAGTATTGTTATTGAAAAAGTTCAGAAAGTCATTTCTGCTGTCTGGACTTCAGAAGCTCTTCGGTCTCAGTTAGAGTTGGGTATCGTTTGTGTTTTATCGCCTCCAGTTCTGCTTATTGATTCCAACTCAACTTTCAATCCCAATATGGTGGAGAAAAGACTAGGTTCAATGAATAACTGACTCTAAATGTAGGTATTGTGATATAAACTGAGTCTGTTCTACAGTTTCTCATTAGGCTGAATGAATAACCGACTCTAAATGTAGGTATTGTGATATAAACCGAGTCTGTTCTACAGTTTCTCATTAGGCTGAATGAATAACTGACTCTAAATGTAGGTACTGTGATATAAACCGAGTCTGTTTTACAGTTTCTCATTAGGCTGAATGGGGCTTTATCAGTGTTCTAGGTAGCTGTGAGAGAACACATTAGTAGGCAGAGCATGGACACACTGATGTCTTTCCTCTCAGTGGTTCTGAGCTGTATTCCTCTGAGTTATTGTTTGGATCTGAGTTATCAGCTGTAGTCGGGCAGGGGGTGGTGTGTGGGGGGGTGTGTGTGGGGGGTGAGGCCTCTGAGTTGTTCAGGAGAAGCTGTAATCTCTCGGTTCTGCAGCTGACATTTACTCAGTTAATTTGGAGTGAATGTGAGTCGACGGTGATGAGAACGTGTGGAGGTGATTGAGCAGAGCTGCTGTAATTGAGCCGCAGTGAAGCTGCTGTTCTCAGGCTTTATGAAGAACCACTGCGGTCAGTTTAGGAGGTTTGTAGATGGAGCTGTGTGAGGGTTAAACTGCTGTAGGCTGAATGTCTGTAAATTAGCTGATTTTTTTACCACATCACAAAAATAGCTAATTAAAAACTGTTTGTGAAGTTTAGTGTCACTATTTAAATAATGTTTATTTCTTTTACATTGAGGGGAATTCTGATTTCTGTGATATGGCCCTTTAATTAAGAACTACTCAAAAAAAGCTACACTTTAATCCACTGCAGTCAGCGGCAGCAGTTGCACTGAAAACAATGAAGTATCCATTGACCGTCTACTGTCCAGCAACCATGTGATAAACACAAGTCAGTCCTATTCGGCCGGCGAAATGATTTTAATTTACAGAGGTGTAGCAGGTACCTGTGGAGGATGTGACCTATTGTTTTATATACAACAAGTAGGTTTTGTTTAAAATGATCTTTGAATGGTTCAAGTATTCAGTGCCTATTTTTACATAATAATAGCCAGTTCGGCAAAATGTTTAGTAAAAATGAACAGCTGGCCGACAGATTAGATGGGATTTTGTAATATTTAGAGGTTGAGTTCGACACCCTGTTCTAGCATCACTATGTATACGCAGAGTTAGAGTTAGAGCTGGACGATGGGGCAGAAATGTAAAATCATGATACCTCAAAGTTTTCATGATGAATGATGTGACAGTATTTACTTAGTTAGAACAAACAAATTAGAGCCAAATTTAAAACACGGTCAGAAACTGAACGCAGTGGTTTGTGTTCAACATTTCACACATTCCAGTTACCCAGGACTGACTGAGCTCTCTGTAAACGAACTGCTGGGAAGTGAATTTTGTACTGACGGTGTACAAAAATCATATTGCGACATATTCTGAAGGAGTTTATCACGATATCGATAGATATGTTGTGGGGATAAACATAAATATAATGCTAAAATATATCGATAAACCGTCTATCATATTTATTCACTCTGCTCAAACACGTCATTATAAAGATCAGCACAGGTTTAACTCTGGCTTGGCTGCATCATATCGATTTATATTCAGTGTTTACCGACACAGTCATTAGAAATCGTCCCGTGGGAGAGTTGGTCGGGTGTTAATCGTATGTTAATTGTATGTTAATCATATGTTAATCGTCTGTGAGTGTGTGTAATCTACTGCTGTGTGTTCAGAGTGGGTTTGATATTAAACTGGTTCCACTTCGCTGCTCCAGCTCATTCAGATGAGCTTCAGTTCCTCTCAGTTCCCCTGAGCCGCGGCGCTCCTGCTGACGGAGGGCGGCCGATCTGAACTCGGCCTGCGGGAGTTTCAGCACCGCTTCGCTTTCAGGATCATTTCATACTGATGATTGTTTCCTTGTTGGTTTGCATTAACTCACCTTTCTAAAGATAATCAGATTAATTTAGAGAAAAACAGTGAGAACATACAGGTACTCACAGATATGTATCATATATAATCAAATGTAGGTCCTTACGTATATATACATCATAGATTTGGGACATATTACTACATATAGGTACTTACATACATATATATCATAGATATGGCTCATATCATTAAAATAGTTACAAGTTGGTGTGTATATAAATATATCGCTGCTGTCGGTACAAAACCTTGTATCTCCATTTTTGTCGTTTGAAAATGCTGGTTGTCCTTTAGATGTAAATTTTATGATGAATGAAATTCTGGTTCCATTGACTTACATTAAAAGTAAAGAAGGGTTTTTCCTTCTCCTGTAAAGTTACCATTTTGGAGATACGAGGTTTTGCAGAGATATGTCATACATATGGGGCATATTGATATATATATATAGGTATTTTTATATATTATAGATATGGGACATATTATTACAAATAAATACTTATATATATTTCCACACGATGTAAAGCTGTCTTATTCAAATGATGTACAAAAATAAAAATCGACAAAAATGGAGATGCACGTTTTTCTTTGAACAGTGACGATAATATATCAAAGATATTAGACATATTATTACATATAGGTACATACATATATTAAATACACATAGGACACATTATTATTGCCTTTAGGCATTTTACACATATAATGTGTGTGTGTTAGAGCTCATTCTGGTGCTGTGTATAATAAACCTTTGTGTATATTTGTGTGTGTGTGTGTGTGTGTGTGTGTGTGTGTGTGTGTGTGTGTCCAGTTGGCCCTGGAGGACCCCGTCCACACCGTGTCTCTGCAGCAGTGCGTGTACGAGAAGCTGAAGGCTCAGCAGCTGCTGATGGGTGAGAGCGGCTTCCAGGCTCTGATGGAGACGGTGGACACAGAGATCGTCCGGCAGCTCCAGGAGTTTCTGCAAGGGTTCTGAGGAGCCACACCAAAAACACCAGAACTGCATCAGACGAGCTTCCTGTGTTCTCCTCTCTCTTAACTTTCCATATGTTTTCACTGAGCTGAGTTTGGTAGGCGAGAGTGGGCGGGGTGAGAGTGGGCGGGGCTGCTGACCCGGACAGAGACTGACAATAAAAAAGAAACAGAAGGAGGAACAAACTGAGACCAGCGCCAAGGACCCAAACCGTGTTTACAGTTCTGCTTCACACCTGCAGCACCTGTGTGTGTTTTAGATACAGTGGGCTGCATTATGGGGCTTATCTGACCCCCCCACCCCTTATTATTCCCCTTATTATTCCCCTTATTATTCTATTTTACGTTCCACACTGTGAGAAAGATGAGCTGTTTTAAGTGAAGGAGGAGTCGAGCTGCCTTAACACTCAGTTTACTGAACGTTTGAAGGTTTTAATGCAGCCAGAATAACTTACTTCAGATTAAAACACCCAATTCTTTGTCACAGTGAGGCTTTACTGACATCTACACTGTAAAAACAGAACAGAACCAGGCTACCGTAAAGGGGAACTCCACCAGTTTTTTAAAAATTCCCCCATAACTCAGTGTGTGAGGTGTAAACAGAGTGATTCAGAGTGGTTTGGTGTGAAATAGTTCAGATGTCTTTACAGTGGTGGTGATAGGAACCAGGGGTCGCCATGACTAATATAGACATTTTATTTACTATCCAGAACCACCAGTGAACCTACACGAGTCTTCTGAGTTTATATGGAATGTTGATGATGGAAAATAGTGGAGAATCTGAAATAATGGACATTCTCCATCAGTCTGAAGAAGCATTTCATGATGAGAAGAACTCTTTAATCATGCAAGTGGTTCTTTGAGTGTTCATGGTTCTACATAGAACCATTTTCTGTACTGAAGTATCCTTAATGAACCTTCTTTTTTAAGAGTGTACTGTAATAAGCAGAGCATTTCACACCAAACCACTCTGAATGACTTTGTTTACATCTTAACCAATTAATTATGCAGGAATTAAAAAATGATGAAATTCCTGTTTTTATTTATTGGACTTCAAATAATAAGTAAAGACAAAGTTACCAGTTATTGTTCTATGAACTTGCTGTTAAAAGTTCAGTGAGCTCTTTATTTTAAGACAACTTGGTTAACTGATTTTTTTTTATTTACAGTGTCCTAAATTACCACCCCCCCCACCCCCACCCAATTATCTGTTATCCCCTCACCATACTTCCCCCGTTACCCCTCCCGTGGCCCATAATGCTGAGCAGTGAGAAAGCGAGACTGCTGAGAGTCTCTCTGATTTTCTTGGGCTGATACTCTGAGCGGTGGACTCTGAACACACCCTGCGTGATGCGTGAAGGGACTGATGTGCTTGAGCTTCACTCATAACTCTAAATCCTGCTGCTACTCCGGCTCTGGACCTCCGACGTTCAGAGAGGATCCAAACCAAAAAGGTCTTCTGGACAGAAAACAAAGGAACCCACATCCTGCATCGCTGAAGTGCGAGTTAACATTAAACCTTACAGTAGCTTTGTTTTGTAGTGGGCGCAGCCGCAGCGCGAGAGATGGGGCGTTTTTTATGAGTTCGCTGGTAGAGAAACGTTTCTGTTTAGCTTTGGGAGGAGCAGAGCAGTGATGTGTTATTGATGGTCACTGTGATGGAGTTTGATTAATAATAAAAGCCTTATTCTACACTTATTAACCTCCTGCACTCTGACTGTACAGCCGAGTGACACACAGCGGCGGTCACACCGCCTCACTCCACTGAGAGGACTTCAGATTTACATCGGTTTCTCTTCAGTAAACATGCAGCTGCTGACCGATACGTTAAGAGCAACACTGTTAGGAGTTTCTGTCAGGCCTGTTGTGTCTGTTACATCATCACTGTCTGTCTGTGATGCAATCCTGATCTCCATTTTTCTCATTTTGCCCGCAGTCCAGGAGTCGTACTACAGAACCTTCCTCTCTTTTAGTCCTGAGTTCAGATCTGACAGGTCAAGATCAGATTTTACTCAGATTCCTATTACAGAGTCAAATCTGTAGGAATCTAGGAATTTTATCTGACCTTACAGCATCTTATCTCTAGTTAGGAAATCTTAACCTACTCGATCAGAGTCAACAGTCAGCTGTCATGTCTGTTTCTTAGCCACCAACCATAAACCCACAACTGAAACGTGAACACTTCATCAAAATAACATTAAAATGTGAGTTAAGCTGCTGTTACTGATGTAAAGAAGGTCAAACAGAACTAAAGAGTGATAAACTGTAAGTAGTGAATGCTGTGAGAGCGCCCCCTGCTGTTTATCAGAGCGTCGCCGCTCCCCAGTTTCAGTCTCCATTTCCCAAACGCTTTAGCCGAGCGCGCTAACGTTACTCCTCCTAATAAACAGACACACGTTCAGCTCCGTCTCCTCATTATTCACCACCATCACTGTAATATTTCATCATCAACATTAACACACGAAGGTGATCAGAGGGGCGGTGGAGATCGAGTCTGCAGCGTCTGAGATCTTTAAAACGCAGAGTTAGAAAAGAAAATCATCTCACAGTGAAAGCAGCGTTTTACAGTAGAGATAAATGGAGCTCATTATGCTGGTAGTGAACTATGCTGCTGACTCAGCTGCCTAAAAACCATAGAAACGGACCTTAAACAGAAGTGAGGACCCTGTTGGGGTTCATCCTAAAGTTAGGACAGGATTTAGGAGGTTCAGTCTAGTTAGGATGTTTGTGTGATGCTGTTTTCTTATCTGGAGTTCATGATGAGATTATGAAGGTAGGAACTGATATTCTGGAACAGCTACTGTACTGAATTCAGTCCGTACTGAGGTTGTCATGGAGACCAAACAGATCAGATTTCAGAGTTCTGTAAAATAAATTTAATGATGAACAGAATCGATCTGAGTCAGAATTCATTCGTGCTGCATTGACTTGTATAGAAAGTGAAGAAGGTTCTTTTGCTTCTTGTGTGAAGTTTTTGAGGTTTTGCTCTGACAGTGATGTTTATACAGTAGTGAAACGCTGGGTTGGTGTCACAGCATTATTTTCTGGGACAGCAGGGGGCGACGTCTACAAATGTCCATACTGAACTGAGGGCAGGGGTCATATACAGAACTGAAAACTCATTTTCAGATTAATTTTATGGAAATTTGAAGGTTTTTCTTTGTTTCATGATTAGATTTTTGATTAACTTTGATTTACATTAAATAGCATTTTTTACTGACTGACATTTTGTGAATATTTTGTTCTTTTATCATTTTCTCTATTGGTTGAGTTTAAGAAAGCAATTATATTCCATTATAAAACCATATTCTATAATAAATATTCCATTATAACAAATTATTATTATTATCATTATTATTAATGCAATAAGTGTATTTTTGCTTGTATAACACCAAATAACTACATAACAACCAAACACAAATAAACACAAATACGGTAAACAGTAACAGGAGTTTCTTGTTCTGATGAGAGTAGCTGAGATCTTGTGAGCTGGTTTGAAGAACCAAGTTTGACTCCAGGTTTCTCCTCCAGTCGTCGTGTGGATTTATTAAACTCCATCAGCTCCTGATTTGATTTAATAAGGTCTTTATTAGACCAGATGAGATCAGAGAGGTGGAGGGCAGGAAACGGTTAAACCGACGTTACTGATTGTGTTAATGTTATTAGTTATTGTTCCAATCCGAGGTTTTCCTGAGTAATAATCTCAGCTGTGTGATGGAATCTTCACACTGTCCTGTACCGAGCTGGACCTCCTGACCTTCTCTGACTGCCGGACATTCAGTCTCAGGAGCTTCTTCTGTTTTCAGACCACAAAGTAAAATTTCAAGGTCAGGTGTTTTGTGCAGGGTTTGTGGCGGGGGTCTCGGGGGGTCCTGGTGGTCTCAGAGGGTCTCAGAGTATTGATCAGTACTCTTTTCACAGTGTTTGTTTGCCTCTCTAGTCTTTTATTCATTAGCGTTACTAATCAGGAGTCGTTTAACTTTAAATCTGCATAAAAAAGTGGAAAAATTAAAAACAAAAAATTTACTGTTACAAGCTTGACATCGTAGCAACAGCAGAACCCTTTTTGGTGCTATATAGAACCATTTTCAAAAAGGTTCAGAACAGAACCTTCTACAGCGTGTTCTTCATGAATCTGAAGAACCATTTCACCGTACATAGAACCACTTAAGCATGCAAATGGCTTATTGAGTATTCATCATTCTACATAGAACCACTGTCTTTATAAAAAACCCTAAAGAACCATCTTCTTAAGTGTGTATGCTGTGTGACAAACCTGCCTCACTGTGGAACCCGATTATCATGACGCGCACAGATTGAAAGCTGGTGAACATGGTGCTCTACTGGTTCTGTGCAGAACTCTGAGCCTTCGCTGTGTCCGAGTTCGGCTGCCGGTGATTTTGGGAGATAAGAGAGCCAAAATGGACAGTGTGACAACCAACCCCGCGTTCCCTACTGGTCACACGCTTAGACCTACACACTTAAAAATGATGGTTCTTCAAGGGTTCTTCAGTAAAGAAAATGGTTCGGTGTGGAACCATGAATACTCAAAGAATCCTTTGCATGATTAAAGGGTTCTTCGCATCATGAAACGATTCTTCAGACTGATGGAGAAACCCAACAAGGGTTCTACTATTGTTACAATGTCAAGTTGCAGTAATAGAAAAACCCTTTTTGGTGCTGTGTAGAACCATCCTCAACACGTTCTCCATCAATCTGAAAAACCATTTTACGATACAAAAATCCTTTAATCATGCAAAGGGTTCCCTGAGTGTTTATGGTTCTACAAAGAACCCTTTGTTCTTTCTAAAGAACCCTTTAGAGAATAGAACAGCACAATAAAACTAAAATATATTTTATTTCTGATCAGATCGTCAATAAACAAGTTCTGTTGTGGCTGTGGGGGAAATGGAGTTGTTTACTCTGAGGATTTTAGTCGTGACTGAGTTTAAACTAAATTATTATCAAAAGATGGTTCTTTAAAGGTTCTGTAGTAAAGAAAATGGTTCTATGTAGAACCATGAACACTCAAAGAACCATTTGCATGTTTAAATGGTTCTTTGTATGGTGAAATGGTTCTTCAGATTGATGGAGAATGTGTTGTGAATGGTTCTATATAGCACCAAAAGAGGTTCTGCTGTTGTTACAAGCTTGACATCATCACAATAGAAGAACCCTTTTTGGTTTCCTGTATAGAACCATTTTCTTTACTGAGGAACCGTCTTTTTAAGTGCAGTAACTGTATTTATTTTTCAGCCGGTTTCTTGGATGCTGGACTTAACGTGATGTTAATGTAAGTGACCAGTTTGTGTGCTGTAATGGAAATGACCGTTCTGTTGCTGAAGGTTCTGCTGATGAATGTAGATCGTGTTCTGCTGGTTTCCCCTCACTGTGATGAAATGAGGTCAGACCCTGCTGCTTAATGAACGGTTGGTTACAGGTCCACACCGGCGATCGGCCCTCATTCATAAAACAGTGATTTCATCTTAATGATGTGCTTAATGATGTGACTGCATTATAGATGCCCATACATTAATGTAAAGCAGCGCGCTGGGTTCCGCTGGGTTCCACAGGACCGCTGGCAGCTGGAAGTGAATTGCTGAAGAGCAGAGTGAAGTGACCGACGCTTCTGGAAGGCA